GAAGCCTAAGTATCCCGACCGTGACAGTTTTGCCCTTAACCGGAATAAAAAAAATACATACACACCCATTTTAAATAGTAGGCTATTACTCTCAGTATAACAAGAGATCTTTAAACTTAAAGTATTCTCATATAGTTTTCATTAAAAAGACATACCAAGTAGGCTAGTGATAAAAATATCGTATGAAAGGAAACGTCTTTCGGAGGACCTAAAGCGTGAAACCAATAGCCATAGTGACTCAAAAAGACAACAAGCAAGCGTGCTCCCAAGTTTTCTACTGACAATATCATGGCCGAACATGATTCACCGGTTCAGGTCGACACTGCTAGCACTGATCAAGATCATGCGCTGCCTCCAGTTACGAACGTAGCGCCAATATCTGCGATGGCATCGCTCTCAGTTCCGCTCCGTCGAATGACATCTCAAAATTCGAGGCGACACTCCACCCTCTCATCTTCGGGGGTGGTGTATCCCATTGCGGAGGTAGCAGGGGATGGAGCACCGAACCGACCGCTTGCTAATGCACGAAGACGAAGTGTATCGTCACGCGGAATCGCAGGGACTCCCGACAATAATTCGCCCCCTGCATGGGCGACACTATCATCAAGTTTGAGACGCTCTGTATCTGACATCCGCGGACATATCGAAGTGGCTAGCCGTCCAGCAGTGGTTCCCCCAAAGGAGACACCGTACGAAGAAATGATGGAGCGATTCCAAATCCGACACATACAGCGTACACCCTCAAGCATGACAATAGGTTTGGAGTCGGACTATGCTGCTACACCGTCTGCAGGGGTTACTGCTCGCTCTCCAAGAAGTCAACACACGGAACACTTGTTGCATCAACGTCCCTCGTCTCGCAACGTCAGTGAACACTTCAGTTCTGCCCCCGATATCGGCCTAAAGAGTAGTAACTTTCTCCACTTTGGCGATGGCCCCAGCTTCATCGGTCATCCACCACTCGAAAGTGTCACCAGCGATGGTCAACTAATGGAGCAGCATATAGGGCAACCATTTATGGACCCAAAGATGAATGCTCCTCCGTTCCCATCAATCCAAAGAAAGACGAGTATGTGGAAACGAAGGCTTTTAAAGCCTATTTCGCCTTACTCTAGGGTATCGCAGGCACGATATGCAGCCATCCTGGTGGCTACAGTCATTTACGTGCTTTGGTTTCCTCTAGAACTCGCCTTTCCGGGTCATGCGCATGCACACATAAACACAGTGGTGGGTATCATGCTGGGGTTTGACGTGTTGATCACCTTGCGAACAGGCTACGTCACAGAAACGGGCACCGTTGTATTCTCCAGCTGGCAAATACTGTGGCATTACTTGAAAAATCGAATCATCATGGACATTCTGGTTGCTGTGTCGCTTTTAGTACACGATAACTCTGACGTGTACGGTTCCAAATGGATTCGCTTTGTACTTGGTGGATTGAGTGTCGAGCGGTTAGTGTACATCACGCGGTTCCTACGCATGATCTGGCTCATACGCGCTAACCAGACTGGGAGTGGGAGTAACTTCTGGGCGTGGTTACTGTATTCCCGTTACTCGCATTTGTTCCGTATCGCTGGTATCGTGGTTATGGTTATCTGTATCGCGCACTATATTGCATGTATATGGACAATCCTGCTCGATGAAGCGGAGGATTTTGAAGACTCCACAGTGTCGTGGCGTGAAAAATACTCCTCCAGTTTCTATGCGGCGTTGCTATTGATACAGGGTGAGGGTGTTCCAGCTGAAACTGCAGCACAAAATCTATTCGCTTCGCTCTCTGTGGTGCTTGGATCTATCGTTCTTGCCGTAGTTTTCGGTCACGTCGCGATTCTAGTGTCCAATTTTAACGCTAACACTACCAGCTATCAACGTAAAATGGAGGAAGTATTTGCCATGACTGCCAAGCTTCAGCTGCCTGTACCTCTACGCGAGCGTATCCACGAATACTACGAGCATTTGTGGCATGAATACGAGTGTTTAGACGGCGAGATTGTACAGTTTTCAAAAAGTCTATCACACTCACTTGGTCTCGAGGTTGTCTTGTTTAAGTACATGGAAGTAGTGATGCACGTACCATTCTGGAAAGACTGCACACCGGACTTCCAGAAGCAACTCATGCTACATCTAGACGTACGTGTGTATCTACCCAATGACTTTATCATGCGACAAGGAGAGGTAGATGTTGAATTTTACATGGTTAACCGTGGGTATTGCGAACTTGATCGCGACGTCAATGGATTCGAACGAGTTACTATTACTACACTGGCAACGGGTAGAAATGGCTTCAACATTGGACGAAGCAATAGTATGACAGCTCGTCGTCGCACTGTCGTTATGAGTGCAACTCAAATGGACGATACAATTCGACAGTCAGCGTATGAGTTAGATGCAACTCACAGACGATACTACCTTAACGGAGGTCGCGATGGAAAAGGGACAGAAATTCTCATATCTCGCGGTCAAGCCTTTGGTGACATAGCGCTTCTGATGAACTACCAACGCGCAGCGAACGTACGAGCCATCACACATGTTGAAATGTGTGTCTTATCTAGAGAAAAATTCCAGACTGTGCTTGCCAAATACCCAGAAGATCGCCGTCGAGTCGTCGTTGATATGCTAACGTCATACATGCAAAGCTATGAGGTGAGTAAATCTCACTGCCCGTTGTTGGAACTGGTGCGTAAAGTGTACAGTGCAGAGGCGATCGCAAAGGCATGTGCACAAGCCGGTGTGCCTCCACCACTCGTACCACCAACGATCACAGTTCGTCAGGCGGCTGAACGCATCTACACAGCAATCAACAAGGAGTCGAATGATCCGACATTAAAGTTTGGCGTGGGCGCTAATATTCGTGATAAACTACTCGAATTGCGCGAACGTAGACGCAAGAAACGGGAACAAACGCCACAGAAAAAATCTGATATTCCGAAAAATGTGTCCAGTGATAGCAGAAATCGTGAGAGTAGTGATCATGGAGGCCATGCATACAGTGAAAACAAGTCCTCTGCCGTTGAAATGCCCACAACTGAAGCTCCGACAAACCAAAACTTGCCTCAAGGTACACACTCTCAGTCACTTCAGGAACGTCTGCAGCATTTGGAAGAACGAGAGCTTGTGATTCTACAAGGGTTGAAGGATTTACAGGCCAGTTTTGAGGTGCTTCGTTCTCGTCAAACACCTACAATTGAGCTTAGTCGAAAGCGCTTAGCTCCTGGAGATGACTCGACAAAAACGAAGCCTACGCGTATGCCATTATTACGGCGTGTAGGTTCATTCGTGGCATCCGGAGGCAACTTGGACAATAAAAATCAAGGACAAAGTGTGAAAGAGTCACCAACCCGATACGCAGACAAACTTTTCAGTCAGAATGGGACTCAAAATGATGTTCAATACCAGCACAGAGAGCTGCAGCCTCATCGGTATCAGATGTCCAGAGCGAACGACTCTTTTCGCTTTACATCAGAAATTGAGCCGCCTCACTCGACAATTGAGAACGTACCAGTCAACCAACCTCAACAACCAGCAGCTAGCATAGGCAACAGTGGAGCTTCTGATCGACAAGTTGCACTATTCCAGCCTATTAAGGAAGTTTCGCCAGTTGATCACCATCCAAGAATGTTGTTCCAACGCATGGCCAGTAGGTCACTAAGGAAGCTGGAGGTTGCTGTCCAGTCTCGAACGGATTCAATTCCAGCAGCAAGAGCATCAATAGCGGAGAGAAGAGGGACTTTCCAGCGTACTCACAGTCAGTCACTACGTACAATGGCGGATGCGCTGACTACCCAACGACCACGGGCCTCCATGACATCAACTCAAACTCGCGTTCTCAAACGGATGAGTTCGTTCGTATCTGAAGGCCAGCTTGGCTGGAAGCGATCACCAACTCGCTATGCTGACGAACTATTCCGGAGGCAGTCAACGAAGGCTCCCGATGAAGAAGGATGGGAGCCCAAATAAGATTTACACTGAGATTCATAGAATAGTGAAACTCGTTTTTAGAAAACGTATTAATCGCTTAATACGATCTTCGTTATGGAGACTACCGTCAAGGACGCGAAGCGATATGGCCTTTACGTGTTAATTCTCTTCTCCCTGCGTCAGAACAACTCGTACTCGTGTTGAATAAACTTTGCTTGAGGATTGGCAGACGCCAAGTTGTTTCCAGGGACGTCAAAAACCTTTTTGAGAAGAGTCGTTGGATCATAGTCTTTTTTAACCATGCCTTAAAAAGCCTTTTTGGCAGTAGATGGGTTATAGGTAAGCCATCCATACCATACTGGCAAATTCTCCTTCACCGAAGCCGCCCGTAACGCATCAAATAAGTTCGTTTGGCGTTGGGGATTCTTTCTGTTAAAAAGCTGAATGTATTCGTCCAGCGTTACCAGTTTTCGACTTGTCAAAGCAAGTAAGCCGTCGTCTTTGATTTTCAGCAAGGTGAAGACATCTCTACGGACTTGTGGCTGTTCAGCCAACCCTCCAATTGCTGGGTCTGCAACTTCGAAGCAATATCCTTCGAGCTTGAGGTCTCTTTCGCCCTCACGAGTGCTTTGGCAACAGCAATGTCTCCGTATTTTGCTATGAGTGTACCGGCCAATGATACTTGGCTATCTGGGAATTTCTTGTTGAACTTGTCGACATAAGTGCTCAAAGTATTCAGTTTCGGGCTGAGCAGAACGTCATCCATATGCTGGTCAAGTTTTAGTGCCGTGAAAGCATCAGCAGCAGATTTCTTCTGGAAAAGCCAAAATTTCAACCTCGCGACTTCAGCCACTTTCGATGCACGCGCCTTCAGTGAGCCGGCAATCCTCCTCTCTTCGTAGTTCATTCCAGCTGTAGTGGGGGTCCAAAACGGTGTCGCCGCACCATCTACAACCGAAGCAGCAGCACATGCCAGCAGTATGACTATAATTCATAGTCCAAAAGAGTGGCGCATTGCAACGAAGGCGCACGATGAAAAATGTATTTTGTCACTTGAAAAGGAATTTGCAGACTGACAACGTGTGGCCGTCGTTTTGTCAAACAAACTCCTGGAGATCCTGTGCAGTTGTTTACAGTCGCAACTAATACGTACTGGCACTCTTCACCATTTGTTTTGGTAGTTTCTTCCTATCACTATTAAGGACGTTAGAGAAGATTATGCCAGATACGCAGGAGTTCGTATTTCTATTAAACTAACATAAGATTGCATTTCCGGCCTTTTGTTTTACTATACAATCTAACTTACCTCAATGCGTATGAGACACGACTTTAATACCATGGACTGTACGCAGCCTGTCGAGCGTACAAAGCTTCATGGGAGAAGGATCGCGCTTTAGGACAGGTGTTCGTATCGTTGATACACGTAGGGTTCAGTAAGCGGTTGGTACAAGACTTTTTGCAAATAGAGATAGAAGGAAATTCAGGTGCAGTTTGCTTCATTCCGTCTGTAGTACACTCTGCCATTGTTACATTACTATTTTGCATATCTCAATAACATGGTGTCAGGCTAGGTCCTTTTTCAAATTTTGTTCCGATAATCTTAGTTCATCCAGGCAAACTGAAAACTAAAGTCAACTCCTACGCCATCATAACAAGAGAGTTAGATGCAAGGAATAATTAATATCAGTTATCATACGCACCGTTGTGATCAAGAAAAAAGAAGAAGCAATAAGGAATGAACATCCCCAGTTTCGCTTGAATATCTGCCGAAGCAGTCTCGAGGACAAAGCCAAGCTGGTGGAGAACAGAATATTGCAATCGTCGTCGAAGAATCAGCTCGAATGCAATCAAGGATAAAATCTGAAGCATCGCGTACACAGCCACGTCAAACTGGGATGCCTTCCGTTCATTAGCCGTAGTACCAGCCAACGCCGGATAGTACACCGCGTTAGGGAGACGCGCTAGTATTGATGTATATACTCCAACCATCACGGGAATTATACAGGACACATATTTGACGAGAATGAAGTACTCAGCCATAGACAGAGTCTGGAACCGTACAACATTACCGTCGCGTGGTTTACTGATGGGTTCTGGTCTCCTTCTCTCGCTTAGCTCTGTTTGTTGTGACGGAACTATTCGCGAGCGAGGAGATGATCGCACTGACCATGAGCTCGAGTGTCCTGAAATTCGAGAAAGCGAGCGTCGTACTAGCGTCATATCCACCACCCGCACAATAAAACTCTTAGCCATTCGACTCACAATTGATAGTTTAATGGGAATTGCAGTCACTGGTGGTCCATTTAAAGGAACCACAGCAGCTCGAGACTGCTTAATCGCCATGCCTTCCTTTGGTAGAGTACAAATTAACACCACAGCTGGACGGCGAATCAGTCGTTTTACGCTTAATACTGAGGTGAACGTGTCAATTGAGACCAAAGTACCAATCGTCCAAATTGACATTCGTGCGCCCTGAAGGCACGTCATGAGGTAGACTAGATGGAACAGGTTTGCAGTGAATACCACACGTTCCGGCAGTCGTGCAAGGGAGCGTAGTCTGTCTTCTTCGTCTGTGCTGGAGCAGCACGCGTGTGCCATTGACAACCGTGTAAATACCTTAAGTACATAGAGAAATATAATCAACGCAAGCTGTTGAATACCGTTCAGGACGTGATATACCGCACTAAAGACAGGGTACACAAAGCACATGGCTGCTTCCACTGCAGAAACGTAGTACAAGACTCGAGCCTGAGGTGTTTTGGCTATCGTTTGGCGTCCCAGAATCATCACTACACAGCCCATGAATACAGCACCGAACACCCCACCCGTCAGCTCAAATACGAACGGAATTGGGAACACCCAGACTGCCATAATTGTCAGTAATACTACGAAATAACAGCTTACAGTGATCCAAGCAATAGCAAGCCCTTGTCCGAGCGTAATGTTAAGAGTCGTAAGAAAACTTGAGGCTTGCTGAAGACAGCAGAGTGATAACAGATTGAAGACGAACACGTAGCGAACGACCCAGCCCGAGTTCGATCGCCAGCCGTCACTTGGTGCATTAAGCGGCAACAACTCCATCGCCAGCACGAAGCATAGTATTGGAAGTGGAGTCAGGAAACACACGGCCAGAACTCGTGAAAGTGAAGTGGAATGACAGTAATGTTCCAAAGCTCGAGCTCGACGAGCAGTGTAGGCACCGCGGTGACTTATGTCAGTGCGTTTCCAGGCACTATATAGCCTATTCCAAAGTCTGAGAGCAACAGGTTGGTCATCTTGCATCGAAGCGAACCTCCTTGGTCGTGAGCGCAGTTCTTATTATCTTTTCCTGGCTTAACCACTCCATTGTCTCCTTCGAGTGTTCCGATACGAAAACCGATATGTGTCCCTTCCCACGTGAATGTTTTTGTCCAATCATTTCAATAGCTCAATTCATTATAAAGTGATTTAGAAGTATTTTTAACTGCTGCAGCAGTAAATTACTTTTTCCTGCCAATACTGTAGTTATGTTTTACTTGCTATACGTTTCCTTGACAGAAGAGAGCTGTCGTCGCCATAGGCAATAGTACGTCAGTATACATGTGCCGGGAACCAGTGTATTAATTGGCGCTGCTGGAGCTGTTTGTGATTGTCTCCAAGTTGTGAAGAGGCTTCACTTGGACTGTTTGCTGAGACGATCTGCGTGAACCGGGTGCAGTGCTGTTACCGGCAGCGTCATTTACATTCAATATAGATCTTGACTTGGCTGACAGCAAGCTGTGTCTGCTTCGCACACTCACAACGCTTTTTGAGCTTCCAGAACTTACAGTACCGACCTCTTTGAGACGGAAAAGCTTCGGTACGAGCATTAATCCCATGATCACCATCGTGCAGATTAATAGCGTACACGCCAAAAAAACGTAGTATGTAGCTGCTCTCATTCGTACGAGGTATGACATCGGCATGACGAGGACACAGCCCACGAGCACCACCACAACCGAGCCAAAAATCCATGGAGACTCCTGAAAATCCACAGATACATTGCGGATAAGGAACGACAGATACAACCCCAAGACCAGCAGGATAGTTTTCCAGAAGATCAGCAACGCTGTGAAGATAAAACTTGAGGAGCTGCAAGAGATTTTATCCACCGTGCCATGAAATTCCGATGCTTCTTCGGTCGTAATGGTCGGTTCAGGATAATCTGCAGCGTACCATCCGATGAAAATGATGATATCTCCAACGTAAAATATTGCAAGAAATTTGAGGATGGTGAAAAGTGTAACTTTCACCCTTTTCATGGCAGATTTCATGAATACGCGATAGACTCGCAGGGATTTCATTACTAAAGCACCGAAGATAGTCGTGAACCCCATACACACCAGCACGGGGCGAATTCCACACAGCATTCCCGTTGGACGTCCGGCATAAGCGACCGCCGCTCCAGTCGTGAAAAACCCTCCAAAAATCATCAATAGCAGCATTTCGTATTGAGATCGTCGGATAATTGGTGCGTTACGCTGTTTAATCACTACCACCGCAGCAGCAGTAAGCAACACCGCCACAATCGCTGCTAGCGCCGCTAAAGCTTTAAACGTCGGGGACGATGTTGGCATATATTCGCAGTCAATGCTTACGTCTTCTGGTAATATATCGCCACCAGAGCATTCGCCAGAAAGTAATATATTTGAAGCATAGGGCAGTTTCCAGAAGTATTTTACCGTCCGGTAAGCGTCCGAATCACAGTCAGAAACGTGGTAGGCGTAGAAACTCGAGTCACATTCCGGTTTTTTATCGATCCAGCCCGACCACGTGCGTTGATTTGCTTCGATCCAGTCACAGGAACGACTTGTAGCAATGGTATCTGGAAGAGCAGCTACACCTCCATCACAGTTATTCGGTAGTGACATATTCCCTGGATTCGGTGCTTTCCAAGCAAACTGGATTTCATGAATAGAAGTATTATCATCACACCCGGTCACATGACTGACTATATGGTCATCAAATGTGCACAGTGGTAGGCGATCATGCCAGTCACTCCAAGTATCGTAGTTCGCCTTTACCCAATTACAAGCTGCGCGAAAATACGGTTCTGGATCGGTACCACTCATTGCGATACTATACTCACTAAGCAGGGCATTAATGTCCGTGTCAGATAGCGTAAACTTGGAAAATAATGATGCGATGGGTAAATCTTTGACAACATGAGCTGCAAATTTAGAAAGTAGGAGACTTGGATAATCCACATCCACAGGGTTACTGGTTTTCTTGCCGAACCCGCTTTCTCCATAGTCACCTGTAGCCAATTTTACTCGTTCTGGATCTGTGCGTGGCAGTGAAACACGATCGAACTTTCCTTTGTTTGTTACGTGAAATAAATCCGGTTCGTAGTGGTAGAAGAGAACTCGATCGCCGGATTGGGCGGCGTCTGCAGCGAATTGGTTCACCCCGTCATAGCCGATAAAACAGAAGTAAGCAGGGATGTCCAGGTTGTCGAAGACCGCTTGGAAGTATCCCTGGTCGTAATCTGGGACCATCAATGCCAGCACTAAACAGTTGTCTCCATTACCCTCGCGTTCAGTACACGCTTGGGTTCGTTCACAGTTATCTTCGCAGCCCATGGTCCCGTCAGTACATATAGTATCCGCTGGGGGGTAGTACTTGGATTTTGATTTGAAAGACACTACGTCTAGAGCATCAATAAGCGCATCACTGGTTTTATAGTGCTTCCAGAAATCAGGAAAATACGGCGGGGTCGCTTTCATACCATCCTGTACGAACTGACGCGTGGTGTATACTCCAGAGAGTCCGAAGTAACCCACTCCGCCAACTTGGTAACTCTCGTTAAAGTAAACTCGTAGGTCTGATAGAGTACTTGAGGTCCAAACTTCGACATTTAAATGGGTCGGAGTGCACGTTCCAGACCCCACGGATGACATGCGCTCAGTGATGTCCACGCCTAAGCCACCTTTACTAATCGAAACTTTGTATCCACTCTAAAAGAAAAAAAAAAAATGTCACTATAGTAAACGCATTATTTTATTCGCAAGATTGAAAAAAAAAATACGTACGACTTCTTCTGCCATGATGGCCAACACCATTGTGGCAAGTGCGTGTGTATCCCATGCACACAAGTCCAAAACGAGGGTGCCATCCACCTCTCCACGGTTCTTACCATCGGCATCCTGGTTGGCTCCATAGAACAATGCATCTGAAGCCATGCAATTGTCTGTGAATACTTTTCCTGACGACGTTCGAGGGTCATCAACCTAACGTCAGATAAACGGATTAGTGTTTGCTGCGTACTCAGAAGATTGTTGACTTACTCTGTGTCGTGGATATTTTAGTGCTGGTTGCAAGAAAGGGTGAACGAGTCTACCGTTCGAATCACGGGTCTGGCTGTCGACGCCTCGCTCGGCTTCCATTTGTGCCACCCAGGTCGAATCAAGACACGTGCCGAGGAACCGGTTAGGTCCAAGTGGATACTTTACTGCGGCAGCCATACCAGTGACCCATGACGTGAGGAGGAGTGTCAACTTCATCTCAATTGTCGCACTCGATCCGCAGAGGACAATTTGGCTGTGGAGACTGAAACTACACCACCAAAGCTGAGTTCGGGAAGTTACGACCTATTTGTGACGGTGATGGTTGGTCCAATTTACGTTGATCACCCAACCAATTCTTGAGGGACGAACTCTATATTCAGATGCCTCAGAATGACGATTCATCATAATTGTGCTTTTTGTCATCCAAAACTCGCGAATTAATCTTCATATTTAGTCATAATTCGTGCATCAACACAACCGTCAAATAGTGCTCCAATGGATATTCATAAAAGAATACGGCAAACATTCTTAGCCCATTGGAGTCCAGAGTCTAGGAAATCCACGTCGAATAAACTCAAACTTGAAATCAACTCCTGCGTCGAACAATCACGAGAAAGTGGTCAGTCTCTTTAACTAGTCTGAGCAAGAAAATAGTTATTAGTTTTACCGAAATGGATTACTCGAAAGCTCAGTGTGATCACCATCCACAGCATCATCTTGCACAACACCAGGGACCTCTGTGTCGTCAATACGAATGCGAGCTGGTACAGAGCTCTCATCCCACAATTTTGCATTATCACCACCACGAGTAGTACAAACGACGCAATCTGTAGCAATCCGAACACTAAGAGAGGTAGAATTGTAGCAATCACGTTCTCTCGAGTAACACCAACCATCTCCGTGTGATATTTCGCATTCGGAAGTTGCGTCATCACTAGCAAGTAGCTGCAGTAGAATAACGGCATAAAAGCCTCCAAATATGCGGTAATTAGAAGACATTCTGTCGTAAAAAGTGTTTCTAACGATTCAAGAAGAATTGTCGGACGCTTTAAGTTCTTCGGTTGATACGATTTAGAATATTCCGGTAGTCGGAATGTGTCCACAGAAGCTATTCGGGTCGAGTTGGTTTCGTCAAGCTCTGCGGGTCTCACACACTTTCGTGTAAATACAGCACAGACACAGCTTGAAATGCTGGGCTGAATAATATCCTGAGGTTGTGGTCCCGCTTCTTTCAAGATCTCATCTAAACTATCGAGTAATTTTTCGCTCGCCATAGAAATCTGATGAGGGAGACAGGATTTTTTTCTGATTCCAGCGTGGGATTGCTTCCTAAAACTCGTTGGATTGCGACATAATAAGCAAATTAAAACCAGCATGTTATCCTTTTCAGCTGCGTTGTCCAGAGTCTTGCGTAGTCTCCGTAAAATACTGGTGGTTCGTTGCTGTAATTTATACAACATCACGATAGTTTGTGATAGATCGGTGGCTGTGATGGCCAAAATAGAAGTAGTAGATGACGCGTTCTGCATGCAGGTAGCGACGTAAACTGCGTTGAAGAAATCAGCCGTGAAAATTACTTCGACGGGCACCATATCTTCCAGGTTTTTCGCGTAATGTAACACGACATTTTTCGCTGCCACTTTAATGACGGGGAGAAGTAAAATAACGAGAATCTGGTATCTCGTTCCTTGACAGACGCGGAAAAATATTTCGTAAGTTGGAAAAATCACAATAGTCGACGCTTGGGCGCACATGAACCGAATACATTGTATAAGTTGTTCACGGTGACTTAATATATGGCGCATACCGCGAGAGCCCAATACAATTCGAAGCGAAATTGCCAGCAAGACGAAAAATATCGGCATAACCAATATTACGAAAAACGGAACAGGGAACACCAAATACTCGGCCACTACCATAGCCAACCCGACGACAATACTTGGTACCAGTACATACAGTTGGAGCATTTGTGATATGGGTACAGTAAATTTGTCGATAAGGTATGTCATTTGGACCACGATGGCGTGAGTTGAGATCCCGACCATTACTGCAGTTCGAATCCAGAATCCATAGCTGGCACGCCAGCCTTCGTGTAGATCTTGAAGTGGGATTAATTCTTCAACGAAAACAAGCGCAATCATAGGCAGCGGCGTTGCAGCGCAGATTAGAATTGCTTGTCCTAGTGAGATTTTCTTGACAAATTCATCGAGAGCCAGAGCGCGATGGATGGAGTATTTGCCGCCGTAATAGCTGACCTGCATGCGATGCCATTGCCGCAAAAGTTTCAAACCAAAGACTCTCCAACGACTTGTAGTGTGTATCCGATGTGGAGGATGTGCTACGTTATGCTCTGAGTTCGACGTTGGAACCACGGAGGCCATCCCGGCTCGACAGCCAAAGTGATGGTTTCGAGAAGTGACAATCTCAAAATAACTCGGTAGTAATCTGGCTTGATGATGAACTTGTAAGTACTATATTTACCACATTCTTGAATAACCTTAGTATATTATTCAATTGCGACGAAGACTAACCACGTCATTAGTTATATGGATATTCTACATAAAACGCTGTTTAACCGTGCCGTGTTTGATTGTTTGTGTTGACTTTCATGGATTTCTCGCTGGATTAAGTTCAGTAAAAACGAAAATGTAAGGAATGTTAAGGGCAGGACAGAAGTTTTGGTGGAACTGACCGCGACGAACGAGCTCCTTTTTCATCGTTGGAACTCGAGGTTTAAAAAAAACTATGCGATAATTCTTACTGTAGCGCATTTCAGTGATGTAAAGTGTTATTGTAGTTTGCTAGGATAATGAAAGTTCCTCAGGTACTCGGAGATTTCAGGTTGATGCTCGGAAATGAAGTGTGACGCCGGTGTAACGAGTCTCTCTCGACATTCCACCCCGATCAGCGTTGTTCCGTTCGTCGATGCACTCACGACAGCGCCTGCAGACTAGCAGCGCTACCACATGGCGGTTGTAAACAGCAACTCGTTCATTTGAACAACACGACGTACATATTCGATATCCACACAAGCCACAGCGCCGCCATCGTTTACTTAAAGTCGGCAGAAAGGAGCGGGTACAAGCAATACAATGCCAATTATGGTGCATACCTCCCGCATGGTCATCATCCGACACCCCTGTGGCTTGGAACGGCATCAGTACAACATCCCACAATCGTCCAGGCAGTGTGGCTCGTTGCTGGTGACGTCGTTGTTGTCGATGTATTACTTTTTCCAGCCTACGAACCCGTTTTGCAAGGAACAAAAGACGATTTTGAGCCACTTGAAAGCCACAACCACCAGGTAAAGAGCCTGTAAATGCAACCTGGAAGGTAAATCGAAGCGTTTCCGAGTTGTCTTGAGTGGGTTGCGCGATGAGCCAGCCGGAGATAGGGTGCAATGATGTGACGCGTTCGGGTGGTGCCTTCCCTGCCGTGACTTCTGCCGGATCTAGTGAACAGAACGCGAGCTTGAAGCCTTCCTCTGTCGGTGTCAGTAGTTCAATATAGCAGCATTGTTCGTTCTTAGTACCAGACCCGTCATGTGCATGGGTTAAGATGCGTGAAGCAGGTGTTACTGAAGATCTTCGTGAATGGCGTTTGAACGGGTTAGAGAGACCCATCCGAACGAAGCTAACGGTGCGGACCGTGAGCTGCTGGCTGGATGTACATGTACTCATTGTACTTCCTCGAGATTGAGGAGACAGCAACGAGCCCCGATCTGTGTTAGCTATCGTGTGCAAAAGGGAGCTGTAGATAAACCGTGGCCCATATAATGCACGCTGGAGCGCATTGCTCTGGCTTTCCGTCGGGGCACGCAATAGTGCCATCAACTCCGATACTCGTACTTGCATCTCCCCTCCAGTGACCACTTGACACTGTTGCGTCTGAATTGGAGATATGGTTGAGTGTGCATGCAATACTCGCATGTACACGTCCGTCCTAGTGATACCGGTCCTCACATGCTTCCACCCATGTTGACTTGAGAGATCCCGAAGATTTAGTGGTTCATTGGGGACTGGTATACGCTGGATGCGCTCAAACAACTCGCGATCACTCAGTCGAACCTTTCTATGGCCTGTAGATGGACGCGGATCCCCTAGCATGGCATCGGACGCTCTCGTTTGACTATCAAAACCTGGATATACAGCTGACATCGTAAAGGTAAATTATTCAGTGACTATCAACTGAACAAGCATGTAAGAAATTGAGCCGGATTCGAAGACGTTTCCAGCATTAATACGGCCAATGCTTCTCCGCCATAGCGCGCGGGTAGACTCCCAAAGACACGCAACTTTGGTATCGTTAAATGGCATCGCAGTTCCTTGGGTTGGCAGCGAACTGTCAATCAGCGTCCAAGTATGGAAAAGTCGAACAATTAAGCTGAATAGATGGATAGTCAGCTTCAACATACGGGTCGTAGTCCCAACTGAAAAGTCGCCGCATTTTTTAGGCGCGCCGGACTAAAATATAGACTTACGTAAATATTTTTTAAAGCTTGGTAATCTTAGGCACACGATTACCTAATCCCCTTTCTTTTACGTTTGACTCCTCCCAACTTGTTTAAAAAGGTTCTGGAAATAAAACTAACTGATTGGCTCAGAAGCATATCCTGTCATATCACATTTTTCTTATCTGTTGAACTGCTGTAAACAGGATACCAACGCTTTTGCGCTGAATCTTTAAACGACGTTGAGGAGAATGTTCTCCCTTAGCAAAGCAAGATGCTGGATTGAAGAAGCCTTTGCAAGGTCCCATACTTCGCGTGTTTTTGATGCAGAACATGTCCAGGGTAATAACGACGATCAGGTGATGCCGTTGGAACCTCGTTTGCGCCGTCGAGCTGTGTGATGCTTCGATCTTGTCGCGTCCGTAGGACTTATCAGGGTTTTCAACAATGAATCCCTGACAGGTGATCCAACGTCCTCAGCAGAATACTAAATTCAAATATCCTAGATGTATCCTTAGCAAGTCGATGAGATCCGTGTACACACTGTACTTCACTCCTGGACAGACACGCAAGTATACTCACAGGGTATTATTCGTCAGCTCGTCAGTCGAACTCTTCGACTTTTTTTTTCGGGGGTCGTCCCTCTGCAGTTCGTTCACAAACTTCAAAGGTTCCACGTAAGTCGAGGTCTCGATAGTACCTCGATCGAGTGGCAAAACTTTCTGATGTGGCGCGAGTGAATTGCTACGACTGCGTCCGACGACGTGGATACAATGCGGTCGCTTCTGGCGACCCACTCTACGAATGCGAGACTGGATCATCAGTTTGGATGAAGCATGTAGTGTGTTGTTCGAGTTTCATCACAACTAGTTACTGGACGCGTTCGACTGTATCAGGCTGCTATGCGGAGTCCCTCATCGACCAAGGAGCTCACATCGAACTGTAGGTACTTCGTCCATTGCTTCTGCAAATCAAAAATCTCAAAACCTAAACATCTGACTGGTATGAGCCACTGTATCATTATTAATACCATAGGATTTGTGTTTTTGCAAAAAGATACCCGTAATTTCGATCTGAAGCGCAGTCATACCGTCGCGGTAAGATGCCATCGATACAAACCTAGGTGTCAATCGATTTCTGCCATTGAGTTTTGAAAAGCTGGTGATGGTATCGCGAAAAAAAATTGACATGAGTGTGTTGGCCGGGAATATTCATTATGAGGTACAAATTGTCTGTTGGCCCAAGATTATCAGTATTTCCTGACTTTCATATTCTGGAGATATTGCACTGTTGCATGCTGTCGAGTGCTGATTGATCGAAAGATGCTGGAAACACGACGGAACACGACGCTAGCATTCATATACTAGATTGTAATCGTAGAAATGCCCTCAGCGAGCTAGGTTTCTGGCCACAGTCAATCTTCTGGTAGCAAATTGTACAATTTTGGGGGATATTCACGAGGTAAACCTGTGTCCAAAAAGCAGAATTTCCGTCGACAAGGTCATTTATGTCGTTAGCAACATATATGTTCCATTAAAAACCAGAAATTCTATGACAATTTGCATTTTCCGACTTACTGGCCAGCTGAGGGTCGTCTCTTGTTCATTGCACGGAATACGACGCTACTAAATTCCTCTGGGAAAAGATCTTCCCTTGGACTGGGCAAATGCTAAATAAAAGTACACTACAAACGCTTGTTCCCAAGGATATGCCGGGGTTCTTGAGCTTCTCCATAAATAAAGCCTGGCCCGCTGTATCAAGAGTGTGGATCGTGGTCAAGCCTACAGTGACATGGCTACTTCAACCATCCATTGACTAAACTGTGCATCGTTGAAATTAGTGATCATAACGTAACTAACCAAGTTAGACAAGCTTCGTGCTATCTCGTGTTCTCAGCGTTGTCTTCTTGTCTTTACCAGTGTTTAACACCTCCAAAGTGCCAACAAATCTGGCAGTCATGGAGCTCTTCGTTTTTCTTCCCAGAGCGGCGACTCGGTGCGAATCCTATCATTTTCTGAGCATAATTCATGAGTTTTGGTTATACTGCTTAATTAAATTGTTGCACTATGTGTACCTTTGTCATCTCTATTAGATTTCCCAGTCAATACGCCACATGGTGGAGATTTTGCGAATCTTTGCTATTCCACGATTCTTTTGTAGCAGCTTCACCATGGCATTCTAGCGATCTTCTGACAGAATACTCTTTTCGCTATGGACAGTGGAGTTGAGCAGTATATCTCGTTACGAAACAGATTCAGTTTAGCATTCATCAGTTGGTCAACATCGCCGACCTTTTGGTTGTCACGGTGCAATGCCAAGCTGATCACGCGAAAATTGCTTAAAGACGCACTGATCCTGTGATACGCAGCCGTAATGTTTATATGTGTGGAGCTACACATAAAGCCCACTATTTTTAAGGTAGTATGTAGTAGTAAGAAGAAGCAATACTCGCATTATCGACCGTATCCGTGCTGATTAAACTGAAATGTAAAGTCCACGCCTGCACACCAAAACACTGAGTACCAGACAATTACAGCGAAAGGCTTAGCAGTTTTACGTACCGAAATGCACCACGCGGAAGCATAATGTGATAAGAACCCAGAAAATTAATTTACCTTGAATAAGTGGCATCTGGGACTCCAGCACAAACCCCAATTGATACAGCATGTTCATTCCACAATTCTTCTTAATCACCAACGCCAGCAGTACAAACGTCGCGATCTGAAGTAGACCAAACACAAAAACAGGGACAACAGTAGCACCAACATTTTCAAGCGTCACATCGGCCATCTCGGTATGATAACGTGCACTTGGCAAGTGGGTCATTACGACCATATAGCAACAATAAAATAACGGAACGATAGCCTCCAAGTAAGCAGCGACGATAATGCACTCGGTTGTAAACAACGCTTCGAGTGTTTCACAGAGAATAGTGGAGCGATGACTCGTATGACTGTGAATCGAGCTCCTATCAGCCCAGGGTACGTTAGACTCGCCAGAATTTAACGGATGAACCACATCGCTGCGCTTTTGAACGAAAATACTGCGTACTTTACGCTTGGGTTTCTTGTCAGGAATCATTAGGTCTTGTACGCTCGGGGACGGCGCGAGCATTAGAATATGATGAGTATGAGAACTCTCTTCACTGGACAAGCTTTCCAGTCTTTCTAACAACGCTCTGTCCAACTCAGCCAAGATTAGAGGAAGACAGGAGCGTATACACAAGTTGGTGCGTGTCTGGTTACCAAAACGCTTGAGATCTTTACACAAAATACAGAGCGCACTCAGGAAGTTGCTGTCTGTTGGATCGCTGTCAATGGTCAGACAAAGTCTTGATAGCATTGCTGCAGTACGTTGATGCAGACCAAATAGCATAATTATCGTCTGAGATAGATCTGTGACCGTGATAGCCGTGATCGCAGTCGCAGTGGACGCACTCTGCATACAAGTGGCCACGTACACAGCATTGAAGAAATCCACCGTGAAAATTACAGCTTCGGGTAACATATCCTCCATGCTGGCCATACACCGTAACACCATGTTTTTTATGGCCATCTTGATGAAAGGTAAGAGTAGAATAACTGGCAGTTGATATGGTGATCCTTTAGCGACACGGAACAGAGTTTCGTAAGCGGGATACGTAAAAACCATGACGTTTTGAGCTCCTACGAAATATACAAACCGGATCAATTGGTCACGATGCTCTAACATTTGACGAATAATGCGAATACCCAATACGAGTCGATACGACATGATAAGAGCGACGTAAAATACCGGAGCTAGAGTCAGCACGAAGAACGGTACAGGGAAAATAAGCCACGCTGAGATCCCTATCGCAAACGCCGTAAAAAGGATCGACGCACAGGCGGCCAACGCAATCATTCTAGCCACGGAGATTACGACACCATCGATCAGATAGGTAGCTTGGGTTGTGAGTGTGTGAGCTACCACGAAAGATAATATTCCAGATCGAATCCAAAAGCCGTAATTCATACGCCATCCCTGTGCTGGATCTTGAAGAGGAATCACTGCTTGAATGCTCACGAATGTCACCATGGGCAGAGGCGTTCCGATACACACGAGTAGCACGCGAACCAGCGACGTGTTTCTTGTGTAGGCATCTAGCGCTAGAAGTCGCTGGATGGAGTACTTCCCACCGTAGTAACTCACTTGCAGACCCTTCCAAGCGTGATGGAGTTTAGACAGCCATCTTGATAGCATGTCTGATGCTGTGACGCGGACAGCAAGACGGAAATTGGAGCATCATAGCCTATTTTAATGCTAGTGCACTAAGAGATTATAGTAAAAATACCCACACCGAGGCTTTACCGTATTAAAATTGCTGTGAGTATTCCTTGAAGAATGCCAAGTAGCCCTCAAACTTTTTCCAATTCGGGTGGTTTGTGGCAGGCCCCGTTGCTGGGAGCTCTAAAATCTCGCGCACTTGCTTAAACGTCTTCCCTTCGAGATACCACCCCTTGTAGATCAATCTCTGCTTGATAGCCGCAACTATCGCGGCGTTTGCTGCCTCTCGCTCTTTCTCCTTGACGTACTCCACATACTTGAGGTATTTCCCCCAGTTCGTGTGCCCGACTGCTTCGCCTTTTGCCGGAAGGCTCATGATCAGTCGCACGTCGTCGAGAGTTTTGCCTCCGTCGAACCAATGCTGATAGGCCAGTCGCATCACAGCAGCTTCCCACTCAGGATTCCCCTTTCCGAGCGTCGTGACGGCATTTGCTCTCTCCTCCGTGGTGGCCTCGGCCGAGTTGTTATCAGCACCTGTATTTTCTGTAGCGTAGCCTCGAAGCCATCGTTTGTCGTAGTTGTGCTGGATTTTAGCTTCGACTGGTGAGACGAGGTCTGCTATGGTGGCGCTGAATCGATCAGTGCTCGGCATTGCAGGTAAAGAGCACTGACGCCTGTCAAGAGGAGAGCTGTAGGAAGTAAAGCGCAACGAGCACGCATTTTGACTGGCATTTCAAGCGAATCACTCAGTTTGAGCGAAAGCAGAACTGAACACTTGAATTAACGGGAAAGAAACAGCAAATCATCCGGTCATCAGCGATTAGATTCACGATTCATCCGTAATCTATCGGACTTTCATTTACCGGCCCGCGACTGCATAATAGATTCCCTCTGGATCTCGAAAGACATGCATGTTATCGGAGATCAATGTAGTGGCTCTGGTTTTAGTACCGGCCGGGGATAATGTACATCCTCGGCTGCGTGGTAAGCAGTAGCAGTGGTAAGGCAAGCGTTGGTATTCTTGATTAGGGTACGGTAGGTCTTCCACATGGCTGGCTGCCGAGAACTCACGATTTTGAATACGCTAACTTTTGACCTCTTCACAGTAATATAATATTTTCGAGGAATATTTTTTGCATCATTTTGCTCAAAAATTATTTTCAATTCTGAGGGAGATTTACAAAACACACAGGAACACGCAAAGAGTGTGGTTAGGTAACAAATCATTTGAAGATGGTATTTAGTGAGCGGGTGCGTAGCCGTAGCAAATTGGAAGGCCGCACAGTATTTGCGTAGGCGGCCGACAATAACCTTGTTGTGTAGTATATTCAAAGCTTCGAAATGGTGGGGATACAGTTTACAATAAATTCGTTTTTTGGACACGGCCGAAAAACTATTTTTGGTTTTGATCGGGTTTAATACCATCCAACAGACAAAGTGTACTCAAAAATTCGGTTATCTTGGGTACCCGTAAAATTCACTTTTTGACTTTCTCAAAAAAAATGATGGTTTTTTCGGTCTGCGACACGCCGTTTAGATTCTAGCGATTTCTAACTGGTTATTATTCTAAAACTGATTTCTTAGAATTATAATTCTGAAACCGACTGGATCGTGTGGGCCACATTTTTGGCACGAGCAACATTACATTTTTAATGTTGCTCAAATTGCGGCATTCAGCCCGAAAAAACCCATTATTTTTAATGGTTTTTTTTTCGGCCTGAATGCCATCCAACGGCAATTTGGCGCAATATCCCATATTCCAAAACACGCCAACTCGTCCAATGCGTGCATCGCAACTGCTACGCTGCCGACTACAAAAGCTGCCGCTACGCATCTGCAAGGCGCAACCCTCGCCCACACTTTCTAGAGTATCTGGCGCAACAGTCTCTCTGTCCACAGCCTCCAAGTCGTCGTCGTCCACGCCGAGCACTAAGACACGCAAGAAGCAAGCTCGTTTGGCCAACCTCCCTATATTTTGGCCAATCACTGGCGTCGATGAGCCGCCACAATTGCGTCCACACGAGGTGGACATCGTAAACCGACTATTTAAAGTACCCAGTACTCTAATTACGTCCACCTCGGATCCGACCGACCTCCCCGAGTGGGATGTTCCCGAAATTGCGTTCGCTGGACGCTCTAACGCCGGAAAGTCGTCTTTAATCAACGCGTTAACCGGTCAGAAGGCACTCGTTAGGACATCCAAGACGCCAGGACGCACACAGCAATTGCACTTCCTCAGTGTAGGAGGTAAGAAAGGTAGTTTACCGGAGTTATCCCTTGTGGACATGCCTGGCTTTGGGTTCGCCACGGCTCCGAAGAAAGTGGTGGACGAATGGCACACGCTGGTCGGCGGATATGTGGACAACCGACGCGGTAACAACCTTAAGACGACCATGTTGCTCATCGACGCGAGACGCGGACTCGGACCTGCCGACCACGACTTTATGGACTTCTTACACGACCTGGGGGTGCTGTACCAAGTCGTGTTCACTAAGGCTGATGCAGTGACACGCAGCGAGCTGGAGAGGCAGATTCACAAGGCGCAGGAGGTGGCACTCAACGCCGAACGTATGGTAAGATGGAGACTTTTGTATATTGTGGACATTTTGTTTGACTTGCAGTTACTGTGGTAGAGTATGAACCCTATTATCCAGGTGACGAGTGTGAAGGAAGGGTTCGGAATCAAGGAGCTGCAGCGCCAACTCGTCAGTATGACGGGTTTGTTAGCGTCGGATTAGGGCAAAAATAGAGTTCTTCCAACAACAATTACGGGGTGCTCTATTTTTACAGTATCTACGTGATTAAGTTGAGGAGTTTACTTGAGCCGTATGATTCTGGAACAGGAAAAGTGTCGGAATCGTCAGATTTAATGTCATTCTCCTGTCGTCGGGACCTTCGTCGTAGAGAATGTCGCCGTTGGTCTTCATCTCGACCGGAAAGTTGCAGAGCGGGGAGTTCTGAGCGAATTCTAGATTTATCTTCAATGTCTGGATCGCAGACTGGTGCAGTTCGGAGGATACGTGGGACCACACGGCTGCTATCTACGACACTTGGCAGCACCAATGGAATGTTTGGATGCGTCGGTAGTGGACACAGTCGAGAATTCGCTCGCAATTCCACGTTCTTGGTGGCTTGGAGGATCGCGCTGGAGACGCTTTTAGGGGTCTCGATCGAGCTTTTAGGGCGTACACTCTTACTCTTCCGAGCGGCACTCATGGTTCTTTTTGTTAGCGGCTTAGAGTTTGTATCAGCATCTGGAGTTGAAAGCTCGAGTTCGGGAGTAAAAGTTAATGTATCATCAGGTTTCGATTGCGTTGGTGTTGATGTTGAGTAGGTATTTTTTAGCTCCGGTTTATCCTTATGCTTCTTCTTCTTCTTGGCTTTCTTCATCGTTTGACTGACCACTGATTTCAATTTTGATCCTCGCTTCTTCTTTTCCGATTTCTTTTCAGTTTGGTCTCCAGAGTTATCCAACGCGGATACGTCTTCTTGAGTACTAGAAGACGCCTCAACATCATTAACTTCGACTGTATCTTGTAAGTTCTTCTGTTCAGTATCAATTTGTGGAGCACCTGATGGACTCGGTGGAATGGGTTCATCCTCGGCACCTGAAAGATCCGAATCCATGCCGTTGTCTTCATTAACACCTGAGGATGCGAACAAAGCAGAGATCGCGGCTTCGCAGTCTAGTAGGAGGTCCCTTGCAAGTCGACTCTCTTCATCTTCCACGTCCACTCGCAGTGCCTCACTGATTTGTACTTGACTACTTCGACTCGTTGGAGATGGTGCTTCAGCGATGGATTGGTCGAGTGTTACTGGTTTCTTACGCTCGATATCTAACGCCTTAACGTGAGCAGTGAGACCGTAATAAACGATTAAACTTTGACACCAACATCGTCCCATTTCTTCGAGGTCCCAAGTGGAGAACTGAGTGTCTCTACGGGCACCAAAATCAGGTCCACAGAAACTCGCCTCAAGTGTATAACTATTCGTCACCCCAAGCTCCTGATTCACAACTACTCGAGCTGTAGTCATCTTGGATTTATGCACAGTAAAGTCGCAATTAGAGAACGAGAAACATGGAGCGTGTCGAGCGACGATCATAGGAAAAACCCGCGGATCCGACTTGACTCCAACCGTGTCAACTGAAGTTTTTGATCCGTCTGAAGTAGTCTTCTTCTTCGCATTGTAACAGCCATATGTGAAGATGTTACGGTTGATACTGTGTCCGTGCAAATCGCAGTAAACTGCAACACGTCCGCGAGATTGAAAGTGCGCTAACTGCTGCTTTAAGTGGTATATCGTGGGAAAAAGTTGCTCGATCGGGTTGCTCCACTTTCGATTAAGGTCCCATCCTGCCAGACTTACACGAGTATTACCGTTAATTACACCGTCTGGGTTAAGCATCGGCACCACTTTGAACACAAAATTTCGTCGAAGAACTGTAGCCCCACTACTCGGTCCTGTGAGATAGTCGAGCATTCCCTGCATCATCCAGCTACTATTAGGCTCGCCTGGGTGTACCCGTGCAGAAACTACAATAACTAGCCAAACACTCAAAAAATTAGGTACATGAATTAAAAATATATAAAGAATTGGGTTACGTACTGCGCCGTTCATCGGGTGGAAGCCCGTCTTTACCTGGAGATGTGATGGAGAGCAGGTCACATGCGTTCCCTGCAAGACTTTGGCAAAGCTCAGTGCGACGACATGTTAAGGAACGTTGTGGATCACGCTCTAATAGCTCCAAGTAGTCCATTAAATCTAGCAATAAGAGCACAGTTAAGCATCGGTTATCGTTCTGATCAAGTGTTTGTACCGTACCGGTGTATGTATAAGGTTGGATGCATGCGAAGTAGACACAGTCGTTCTCGTGCTCGAATTCGTAGTGGAAGGACAGAGCGTTGGCTCCTGGAGGAGCCAATGGAGATGCAGTCACGTCGTACCGCACATGCGTGCCTCGATGTCTCCAGCCCAAGCCTTTGCTTGCTGCGTCACGCTCTGAGTATACTACAGGCTGCAAACCTTGGCCAAACAAAGCCCCACTTTTTGCAAGATTAACGAGAGCGAAGCGATATTTAACTCCTGGTTTCCCATTGCGAATTTCAAAGTAAAACCATTGACGATAAGCTCCATTCTTGACGTCTGGGTGGATCAGCAATTCGTACTCTTGTTGAGGTATTCGAGATCCGGAATGGGTTGGTATTTTACGAAATATTCGCTCGGCTCGAAGTAAATTACCACTTTCGAATAATGAATCGAAGATAAGAGTATCGTCCGGTGCGTTGCTGTCTCGAAAAATATTAGGCTGATTGTATTCATACACGTGAAGCCGTGACGATACTTCGAGCTCTTCGTACGCTGCTGCTTCGAAATCTACCAACGTTTTATTCTCCTGAAGAATTCTCTCGGGTTTTGGTGGATGCAATGCGTTAAAATCTGTAGATTGACTGCTTTTCCATGATGCTATTGCGACAACATTGGGAAGATGTCTGCGGATTGGTAGATTCATCGGACGTTCATCTGGAACTCCAGTTCGAACGTGACGAGGTTCTTCCGGTAAGTTTATGAGTGGGAGCGGAGGTGGCACCAGGATGGACTGACTCGCAACGTTGCGGAATCGATTGGCACGGGGATTCACGCTCGACATCGCTACAGATTTTGGATCAGCGCAATGCACTTTATTCGTTCTCCATTTGCAGTTATTTCGGCCCTACAACCGTCGAATCATTGTGTCTTCCTGTCGTTTCAGGCGCGTTGTGCAAGCGTCGCCATTAAAGATCAAGAAAAAGGTGAAAGATGGCGAGCAGGTTCGTAGATTTCTAGTCCTCCTTATCCTGTTTTGTGCTGCTTAACAGCATTGTGATAGTACGTATGATCATCTATGGCAGGAAGCCATGTCGGAGCTCAACGAGCAGGTTCACATCGAGGACCACACGCTTGGTGACGGTTTAAACGGGGCATCAAATGAACCGGTACGTCATCATAAAAACTGCTTTAGACACAGCTTACGTAGCTTATCTGTATATTTTTCAACTTAGCCGCCACAAGCCACGATCGTGGAGGCTTTCCAGCACTATGCGTGCCTATACATCAAGTACATTCAGATCCTGTCTCGGTTATCCGAGTGTTACGACCAAATGGTTCATCCTCAGAAAAGAATCGACGTTAAACAAGTGATCGAAGTGGTGGCCACTAGAGTCGTGGAACTCAAGCACCAACTGGTTAAGTGGAATCCGCCTAATCCTGACGTTATGACTCAACCGGAGCGTAGTTTTCCGTGGGAATACGTCAACTTAGACGACATTCTAGTGGACCTCAAGCTGCCTCCCGAGACAGTGGAAATCCCAGTCCCTCAGTCGTTTCTAGACGACCAACAAGAAGATCTGGTTCGTCGTGACCGACTGGTTAAGGGGTACATGAAGCTTAAACATGGTGTGGAATCTATTCAACTAGACGCAGTTAAACAGTCTACCGTATTGGGAGGAATAGGGATCCTGTCACTTGATGAAGCCATCGCTGTGATTCAGAGGAACGAGCGAGGTCGTCAAGGTCGTCAACGTGGTCTTCTGGTCCAGGAATTACGAGAAGAAGAGCGCCAGCGTAAACTGTATGAGGCAGCACAAGGAGCGCCCGAGATGGATCCGGATATCGCCGCAGCTAACATCCAGAGGATGTTTCGTGGCTTCTGGTCTCGCGCCGCTGCAGCTCGAGAACGCGACGCTGAACTGGTTTTTATCGGTATGAAAGCCCCAGCTATTGATCGCTCGGGGCTTGAGAAGAAGCTCGCTGACGCTCGTCTTCAACGTCGCTCCGAGCAGTTGGAGAACAAGGAGGAATACGAACGTGCATTGGTGGAGTTACATGGTGTGGTAACTAGTGAAGAGGGTCCTTTTATGAAGGAGAAGATGCTGGAGGAGCGTCGACGTTGGATCACCGATGTCATGGCTACGGGGCAACTGCCTGAAGACCTTAACGGGTTTTATGCAGCTTTAAACGGTGAAAGTGCTGAAGACATCGCCAAGGCACAGGCTAAGGAAGAAGAGGCGAAAGGCAAGAAAGAGGACAAGAAAGGTGGCAAAGGGAAGAAAGACGACAAGAAAGCAGGTAAAGGTGCAAAAGGGAAAGGCAAAGATGTCAAGGAGAAGCAAGAAGAGGCTCCGGAGAAGCCGCCTCCGCTTACGGGACCTTCCGAGCTTTGCACTAAATTAGCAGGTGGGGTCGCGCAGTACGAAAAGGTATGGCTTGAGCGCGAGGAGATCGACAATTTCTACCAGAAATACGACGTAGCGCTCGCCAAGGACGTTGTTCGAGGACCTGTGGAGGTTCAAGTGCGTCAACAAGTGGACGAGATGTTGGTGTTGCAGCTTGTCAACATCAAGACCCAACTTGAAGCGGCAGCAGCAGGCAAAAAAGGCAAAAAGGGCAAAAAGGGTAAAGCGAAAAAAGGCAAGAAAGGCAAAAAAGGCAAGAAAGAAAAAGGCAAAAAAGGCAAACCCCTACCTGGAGAGAAGATTGCCGAGCTTAAGGGCCGGGCCCCCGACTCGTTCCTCAGTGTGTTGGTGGAAAACCAGATTGTACACGCTCCACGTCCTGGAGTCCGTGTGCGAGACTTTGTCGGTAGCTTTAACTACCTTGGGACTATTTTCCAGCACTCAGATCGTCGTGATCGAATGGGAAATTGGGTACCTCAAGACCCTTCAGCTGCCCAATTACGACAGTCTATCACGGAATATGGGGTTTTACCACTAGGTTCCCCGTTTATCAGAGCTCGAACGCCTCTGGTACGCTCAATAATGCTCTATGGTCCTCGTGGATCTGGTAAAACTATGCTGATTAGCGCTCTTGTCAACGAGACGGGAGCTCTATTACTCAATTTATCGCCGAGTAATCTCGCTGGCAAATTCTCAGGCAAGACAGGGCCTACAAAACTCGTGCATATGGCTTTTTTGTTGGCCAAAGCTGCTAGTCTACAGCCTATTATCATCTACATTGATGAGTGCGAGCAGATCTTCGCGGGTGGAGGCGGTAAGAAGAGCAAATCGGCTGCAAATACGGAAGGTCCTGCTCGGTTTAAGAAGGATATGTTGCTGTATATCAAAGCTGCATTGGAACCTTCAGACCGTGTCCTGGTTGTGGGCACTTCCGCAGACCCTGGAGCTGCGGAAACCAAGGATTTGAAGAACTTTTTCGACAAGTTTTTGCACGTCCCGTATCCTGATTATGCGTCCCGTGTATTACTGTGGAAACATGCTCTACGCTCTACTATTGCCAAACATGCTGCAACTTTGGGACTTTCGTCGACCACGACCGCACTGGCGCTTGCGTCTGCGTCCTCCTCCTCGTCCACAATATTAGCTTCAGGTTCAGCCTCTCAATTGCAGGACCCTCGTCGTCATGAACCTCTCGATATCTCGACGTTGGCTCATATTTCAGAGGGCTATGCGTCGGGCAGTATCGTGCGTGCTGTGGAGACTACAGTGACTTCTCGACGTGTTGAGTCTTTGGAGAAGCGCCCATTACGTGAGGAAGAGTTTCTTGGTGCGCTATCGCGACAGACTGCGACTTTTACGGATGATTTCGAAAAATTCAAGGCGTTTACGGCTGTCATTACGGGGTTGAAAGAAACTCGCGATAAGTTACGCAAAGCTGCGCAGGATGCACTGAATCCGGACGATAAGAAGGATGCGAAGGGCAAAGGAGACAAGAAAGGCAAGAAGGGCAAGAAGTAGCAACCGAATACCAATCGCTATGAATTTCAATACTACGCGTTTTTTATTTTGAAATGTTGCGTAATTTATTCCGTAATTTTTCAGATTGGAGGAAGTTTAAGACGAGGGACGCTGTCTACCCTTGAATGTTTTCGTTGTTGCTGCTTCTGTTTCTGTTCCTCTGCCCAATACTGTGGAGGTTCCCATCGGGTTTCTCCCGTTTGTTCGTTCTCGTAATATATTGCGTCTGTGTACATATCCGAGCGCTGTACCCACAGTCGAGCTTCGATACGTGCAAGTTGTTCTTCAAGTTCTTTATTCTGCTTCTCCAGCAGTTTTTTCCGTTCTGCACGAGCTTTCACGGCGTTGGTGTCCAAGCGACTTGCTCGAGCCACTTCATGCCATGCTTCAAACACAGCGCGAGTGCCCAAACCTCTCCATCTCTGCAGAACAGCTCGCATTTGGAGAAACTCCTTCGTGGCCTGTTTTGATACCTTCATGCACTGCATTTCGACGTAAGAATCTCGAATTTGAGTCTGAAACAGCTCCATAAGTTCTTCTTCGGGAATATCCAATGGCATAATAAACTTTGGCTTCTTAGCGACAATTGTGACGCTAGGCTTTGAATTCTTTTCGATATCACCAATTGCTCGTTTTTCAAGCTCCTGATCCACAATTTTCACGGCTGCTTTACGGTAGTCGTCGATGTTCATATCTGGCATTTCGATGTCGAAGAAAGGCTTAGTTGGTGTGTCCGTTGGAGCCGAGGTCGTCTTATCAGCCTCAGTCTCTGGAGCTTTCTCCTCGTCTGAATCCTCTTCTGAGTCACTGTCTTCTTCACTGTCATTGGAGTCTTCGTCATCATCTCCACCATGTTCACTCGCGTTGGACTTGTCCGAATCTTCTTCTTCATCTTCATCTTCGTCTTCGATATCGGCATCTAGTTCCAATGCTCGAGCCTTCTCCGTGGCTTTGTGAAGCTTCCTTTCCTCCATCTCGAGACCTTCGATCGCTTGTTCAATGTCGTAAATCTTAGCATTCTCTGGGCCAGATTCTTCCAATTCCGCTCGTAATTTGGAGAGTTTATCCTCTAATTTGCCCAATTTCTTAGTTTTCGCTGCAGCTAACGCTCCTCCTTTGTCTTTGGCCATTGCAGCGTCCAATTCATGTTTAACAGCGTCCCGATCATTCTCTAAACGTGCGTATTTATCTTTTGAGTTCTTCAATCGCACTTCTTTCGCTCGCTGGAAAGCCTCGATTTTCCGACGAAGTCTGTCACGACGAGAATCGAGATGGCGCTGAGCTTTTTCGTGCTTTTTGTAGAGTTTACGTAGTCGACGACGACGTTGTACCATTTCATGGGCTAATACTCGTGCTGTCCGCTCAAAGTGGGCAACGCCCAAGGTCGAATTGATGTACTCGATTGCTCGACGTCGAGTTTTCTGTACGAGACGAGCCACTTTGGTTCGTAAGTAGATACTGGCGAGCTGGTCTTTGGCTTGTTCCTTGGTTAGCATCTGGGCTCTAAGTAGGCGACCCAAGCGTTGACACCGGTATGGTTCTGGCCGAGACAAACACGCCTTTCGGACTTGTTGGCCCCGTTCGCGGAGCGCTACTGGATCCAGACAAGCACATTGACGAAATTCTACCAGCACGGCTGGAACATCTCCTCCACCAGCTACACTGACGACACCAAACTCGTCATCGTAGTTCATGAGTGAGTCTTCGATCTCTTCAGGAGTAAACCGTTGCGAGAACGGGGTCGAAGCTGGTTGTTTTGTCTCGGATTGTTGGTTATTTGTCGCTATAAGTTCTTGTTGACGTTCTATCGCAGGAAGTAAATCGGAGTAGAAATTCTCCCATACGACACCGTAAAGCTTGAGTTCATTGTTAGCAGGTGCAAGATGATCACAGTCGGGCTCGAAAAATGACAGGATAACTTGTAGATCAGAGACAACGGGGTTTGAATCAGAATCGTTTGGAGGCTGTGCGTGGTCAATAGACTCGGAATCTTTAACGAGTTTAGAGGCCAAAGCTAGCACTTCCAGTAGAGCTTCGACAACATCTCGTCTGCTGCTTCGTTGGAACTCTACAAGAGCTTTTTCCATGTAGATCAGAGTCTCTGGAACACCACGTGCAATGACGTCACTTGTTGGTAAGCGCAATGGGTTTTGCTCCATGCAAAGTACTTGCAAATTAGTGAGTGCACGAAAAGAAAAGGGGAGTTCTTGAATCGAATTCCAGTCCAGACGCAGCTCTCGAAGCGCCTGCATTTCGCCAAAACTACGCGGTAACTTGACGATTTGGTTGCGTGACGCATGGAGTGACCGTAGATTTGGCAGAGTTACGATCGTATCGGGTAGTTCGACCAATTCGTTCAAATTGACTGATAAAGATGTGAGTGCTATGAGCTCTCCGATCGAGTCTGGAAGCTCCGACAGTTTGTTATTATTGAAATTAGCGCAACGAGCACTTCGACAGCCTCCAATGGACACTGGTAGTTGCGTAAGTTTGTTGTTTTCCAGCCAAATTTTGGCAAGTTTATCCAGCCTTCCGAACTCTTCAGGTAACTTTTCCAATACATTGCAAGATAAATTCAATACCTTCAGTCCTCTCAGTTTTGTCAGTGTATCCGGTAGTTCTCGTAATCGGTTTTTGGTTAAATCTAGTTCCGTTAAATACCTAAGCGTACCAATACTATCAGGCAGTTTTTCCAGTCCATCGTCGATAAATGATAACGTTTCTAGTAAAGGAAGAGCAATAGGTAAAGATTCAGGGATTTCTCGTAAATTGTGACCTGTAATTCTCAACGCCAACAGATCATGGAAATGTACGACTCGCTCCCAAGTAAAGAAGCCTCGTGCTTGCTTCCATGCGATGTTGAGTTCTCCGGAAGTCTTGGCTTGATGTGCAAAGGGAGACCATAATTTCTGGTTCTCGAGTTCAAAAGCTGCAAGTTGCTCTTCTTGTTCACGCTCACGCTGCTTATTACGTTCGTGCAGTTGATCGTCAAGCCACGCACGTCGTTCAGCCCGATCAATCTTACCAGACATGCCTAGAACCTTGAACTATTCTAAGACCATTGTCAAAGAATAGAGCAACGTGATCGCATATTCAAAACATGAAAACGAAGCATAGCTCAGTACCTAAATCTTCAAAGATACCCTAATTTTCCAGCTTGCTTCGTTAAGACACCGTAGTTTACGGTGCCACAGGCGTGAACGCCTTGCGTGGAGGGTTCAATGGCGCCGTAATGTGCTTCTTGGACTTGGGCACAGACTCCTTGGCTGCGAGCATCTGGTCCATCTTCTCCTTCACACGTCGAGCGTAGTGTTCGTCCACTTCCTTGAAGTTCTCCAACGTGCGGTCTCGGACCTTCTTGGACGCGTTCACCAGCGAAGTCGCGATGTTATCGGTCAGACGTTCACGAGCTTCACTATCCAGCACCTTACGGTAGAAAACCTGAACTTGCGAGACGTTGTCGTCGTAAGATGACGAGTACTTGTCCACCACGGTATGTTCGCCATCGTACGTAGCGTAGCGAAGCGATTGAACTTCCTCCGGTCCTCCCATACTGTTAGGGAAGTACGTCGGAGCATCGCCCATGTTCCCGTTCACTACCATCGGGCCATCACGTTGGTACGTCTGCGGTTCATTAAGCGGACGATTAACCGGAATCTGCTGGTAATTTTTGCCAAGACGGTGACGTAAAGTATCCGGGTACGAGAACAAGCGGCCTTGCAGCATCTTGTCCGGTGAAGGAGTGACTCCAGGCACCATGTGCGACGGAGAGAAGGCCAGTTGCTCGATCTCCGCGAAATAATTGCGTGGATTCTTGTTGAGCACCAGACGTCCAACTTCTTTCAGCGGGAAATCTCCATGCGGCCAGACTTTAGTCACATCAAACGCGATGTGCTTGTGCTTCTTGGCTTGGTCGACAGTCATCGTCTGGATGTACAACGTCCACGACGGGTACTCACCGCCTTCAATAGCTTCGTACAGATCACGATTCGCGTAATCCGGATCTGCTCCGGCCAAGAAGGCAGCTTCATCCACAGGCATGTTACGAATCCCTTGGTCCGTCTTGAAATGATACTTGATATACGTAAGCTTGCCTTCCGAATTCACGTTACCAAACGTGTTACTGCCGTATCCGTTCAGGAACCGATAGCCGTCTGGAATGCCGCGATCCGAGAACAACCACGTCTGCATGTGCAACGACTCGGGACGTAGCGACCAGAAGTCCCAGACCATGTTGGCGTCCTTCAAGTGCGACGCTGGTAGACGCTTCTGAGAGTGAATGAAGCTTGGGAAGAGGATCGGGTCGCGGATGAAGAAGATCGGCGTGTTGTTGCACACGAGGTCCAAATTGCCTTCTTCAGTGTAGAATTTGATCGCAAAGCCCCGCGGATCTCGAATCGTGTCGGCGCTACCGGACTCCGCCGTCACGATGGAAAACCGAGCGGCTACTGGTGTACGCTTCCCGACTTCCGAGAACATCTTGGCACAACAGTATTCCGTGATCTCAGGGTGCGTCACTTCGAAGTAGCCGAACGCACCGCCGCCTTTGGCGTGCACGACACGCTCCGGGACACGTTCACGGTCGAAGTGCGATAGATGGTCGATGAACTCGAAGTCTTGGATCAGTATGGGCCCCGTGGATCCAGCAGTGGCGGACGCCGTAAGTCCGTATCGAGGCATCGGGGCTCCATTACTTGTCGTAAGAGTCGGCGGAGCCATGGTGACTTGGTCTTCAGTCTTGAGTTGTGCGCTCAATTCAGTCAATGCAGGAATGAGATCGCGAATGTATCGATCGACTGTGAATGCCGCCCGTTAGGTCGGACATCCTTCTTCCTGTCAGGATCATGAAGTTGACTGCTACCTCGTCGTCATTGGCGAAAAAGACCTGTGACACTGGGCTGGGACGAGCTTGGCGTTGTGCAATTAGTTCTTCTTGTCGCTTCTCTTTCTTAACAACGTGCTCGCTCGTCTTAACTGTGGCGTCGTGGTGGATACAATTGGTCACACTACGCGCATTATGTATACATGTAGAATCGACGAAGAAGCTTGCTGCGTGAACTTGGTTCTCGACTCTTCTTCTCTTGTCGAAAACGACAGAATCATTGTTTCTGCCTTCAGCCAAATGATAGCTTTATCTTGACCCGATGCGGTTGTCAGCGATTTTAGAGCACAGCAATCAACCGATGAATAACAAAGTCAACGAAGGTGCTACAGCATCTCTGGTTTTCCATGCTGACAGCATAGCGGCAAATACTCCATTGAAAGGCTGCTAGCGCCGGAAGACTACACCAGAAGCACCTCTCTCTCGGCTCCTTCAGGTATGCATTGGAGCTACTCTACCCATGCCACCATTACCACTAGTACTTGCGCCCCTTTGCTGAGCCCCGTGGAAGGTTGGAGCGCGAATTACGGCTTCTGGGTTCGTTGTAGGCATCCTTGATGGTGTCGTGACAGTCGGAATGGCAGCTGTCGCGATCTACGTGATCCCTGGTGTTGTCTTGTCAAATCTACAACTTGCTCTTCATTTTTATTTGTCAAGCAGTTCGCTATCCTGCCATTGCGATGCTTGTTGCTTGCGTTTTGGGTCTGTCCAATTCATATGGTCCTCTCAACCATCAGACGCTCGCTACGCGCATTTGTTTGTGCCGCTCATACTATGGATGATGCGGACTTGTTACTGCCAGCGTTGTATCACTTGACATTCGTCCTCGAAACTCAAATGCTGCTAGTGCAGGTGAAAACTAATGACTTGGGTACTGATAACTTATCGATACCCAAGCTTATCGGCGATAAGCTTGAGCTATCGAGTCGTACACTTCGGTAAGACTCCTTTCGACTCTGTTGCGCGGCTGTATCTTCTGGCAGCGAGACTTCGGTTTCGTCCCAAGAAAAAAAAAGACAAGCGACGGACTAACGCTAGTCTGGAACGCCATAACAACACGCAGAATGGACGAACTGCAAAGTGTCGGGCTTGGCGTTGCGCTGGGACTCCTCGTTGTCTGCGTCCTGACACTGTATCCAGGTGAACCGTTCGACTACAGCGCCGATAGTAGCAGCGCTGGCAACCGTAACGTGCTCTCACGAACGATCTCCTCAGTTGATCCACCAAATATCAAGAAATCTTCGAAGACGGAAGAAAGCGAACACCATCAGCAACTTGTCGACATCGAACGGGCTGTTCAGCGTGTGAAGATCCAGAAATTGCAGGAGCTGCTCGGTCTAGAACAGGAGAAGGTTCAACAGCTTGTAGAGCGCGCCAAAGTAGAAGCGATAACTGCTGCACAAACTCCTGGAGGGTTACCTTCCAGTAGCTACCCCGGCAGCAAGAGCGCGTGGCTTGATCGCGGTTTCTTCGCCATCATGTTGGGACTTCTTGTCTGGGTGCTGTGGCAAGACTACAGCATCAATGTGTTCTCCATGGCGGCGTACCTGCTTCCTCGCGAGGCTGAAATGATCCGGCAGATCGCTGCTGCTCCTCGAACTCTCGTATCCCAGTTTCTTGGGCTATGGTAATTAAACACGCACAGTAGCACCACAAACGTCCCTATACAGGCAAATATACGCAAGCACACAGCATATGCACTAGTATCTGTATTCGTCGTGCGTGAGTGGATGGTGCCGGTCCACGCACTCACGCCATTGCCTCCTCGTTCACGTGTTCTACAGCAGACGCTTCTCGGCTGCGCGTGCGTGACCCTCGAGGCCCTCCATACGAGCCAATAGTGCCGAGTCCTGCACGAGTGCCTGCGATTCTTGTGCGTTGTCGATGCGCATCCACGTGCGGATACGCAGGAAAGTGTGCACCGAGAGTCCGCCAGTGTACTTGGCAGTGCCACCAGTGGGGAGCACGTGGTTCGGACCAGCGCCATAATCTCCAAAGACCTCAGCGGCGCGACCACCAACGAACAGCCCGCCATAATTCGCGACCTGGTCCGCAACTTCACGTGCGTTGCTCGTGATAACCTCCAAGTGCTCGGGCGCCAGCAAGTCCGACACGCTCACACATGTAGCCATGTCGGGACACAGCACAGCGAAGCCGTTCTTCACACTGACGCTGGCCGTAGGAGCCGACGGCAGCGTCTCCAGCTGCTTGGTGAGCTGTTCATTCACCGCGTCAATAGTCTTCTGGCTAGTGGTTACCAGAATGGGCACAGCTGCCGTGTCGTGCTCGGCTTGGGCCAGTAGATCTGCGGCAATAGTAGCAGCGTCTGCAGTCTCATCCGCAATGACGAGGCACTCGGAGGGTCCGGCCAGCATATCGATGGCGCATTTACCGAACACGAGCGACTTGGCCGCCGTTACCCACTTGTTGCCCGGTCCGACAATGATGTCACAAGGAGGGATTCCTCCCACTCCATAGGCCATTGCAGCGATGGCTTGGGCGCCTCCAGCCGCTAGGAAGTAATCAGCTCCGGACAAATAAGCAGCAGCCAGCGTAGCAGGCGCCGGGCGAGGCGATGCTACTACCACCGTCTTGACGCCAGCCACTCTGGCCGTCACGGCGGTCATCAGCACGGATGACGGCAGCGGATAGCGGCCGCCAGGAGCGTAACATCCAGCAGCGTTCATGGGTGACACCTGCGGATATTACGATCCATTAATTGTCATAAAACCCAAGAAGTTGTAATAAAACCCACTTACATCTTGGCCCGCGAAGCCGCCCTCGATACGCTGCTGGAAGTTGGAGATCGAGTCGCGCTGCGCCTGGGCGAAGACCTTAATGCGCTGCGCTGTACGTTGCAGCACGCTCTGTTCGTCCTTTGGCAGCGCGTCGAAGGCCTTGGCGAGGTCTGCCTTGCTCACGAGCAGCGGTGCGTCCTCAGACGGGATGTCGCCTAGTCTCGCTGCGTGCTGCTTGAGAGCCTTCTCGCCCTTCTCACGCACGTCGTTGACGATGACCGTCGCGTCCTGGAGAGCCGAAGCGTCTACAGGGTCATAAGCGAAGCTGGCCACGTCGGCCGGCGAGATCTGCTTGAGCGGAGAAGCCATCGGATGCGGAATTCGGAATGTGCTGGTGGTGGCGAGTCAAGGAGTGATGGTCAACTTGAGGTTGACTTTGTTTGTGCAAAGGCTGACGTACACCCGAAAAATCGTGCGATGCACATGGTTTCAAGAATATCATCCAATTAAATGATAGTGATTTCAACCAATCATCGACACTAAGTCTACTTGTGGAAATGGATGTAAAATTAGCTCCTGTCACCAAAAACAAAACACCAATGTTGCGTCGAATTATTTAAAAAAAACACAATTTCTCATGATATTTTGGTTTTACTGTAAATTCATCAGCTTATATGAAATTCATATAAGCTTGTACAAGTTTAATTAATACTCTGTAGACTTATGCTGGCAAAATTGTGGTTCACAAATAAATTCGATTTGAGCTGAATAAGTTTACAGAGAATTAATTAAATTTATATAAGTTTACATTTATTTCATTTGACTTGTATGTATCAAAACAATCATTGGCTGCAACATTCAAGTTTCTACCAGATCAACACAAAATAATGGATATTTCAGAACAATACCCGGTGTACTATTTAAAAGTACCCTCACAAAAAGGTTACTTTTGTAGTGTATTTCGACCCTAAATGTGTTGCTTGAGAATCCGACTGATTATCTTGGAGTTAAAATGAATTCTGGTATTCAATGCATCCATTGCAGCCTCTGCCACAGTGGTTTCAGCTTATCTCGTGCTTCCTAATGTATGCATTTATAGTGAGGTCCGTGATCTCATCCTTGTCCCGTATCGTCCGTTATCTGCTGATCGCGTACGAGACCTTGCTAGTCGTGTGCGATGCGTCTGCTGACGTCTTTCCGCCACTACAACACTGTATTCACAAAAGGTTACACTTTGTCATTGCGTCGTACGCATCGATTAAAGCGATATCATCGAGATCATCATAAAGCTCGTCGAGGTCGAAGCCGTCGTCTTCTTCCTGGTTTTCACCACGGGCTTCCCACTTTGCACGGAACTAACATCGTGGCATGAAACGTGCGATCCCTAAGGCAGCTACAGAGTTTTCACTGTGGTGCTGTCAGTGCCACGCACGCTTTTTTTTATCCACTGATAGACTGTACCTACCAATGGCATACGCGGGTTACCAAACTGCGTTCACCCGACCTTGTCACTCTCCTTCCACGCATTAATCTATATGTAGAGTAGATCTGGAAAATGCCAAATACTATACATTCGGTTGTGTTCGGATTATCCGAGGTCGTCAATAAGTTAAGGTTACTAAGAGGTTACGTTAGGAGGGTACTATCGAGGCTCCAGAAAATGGATGGCGCGTTAACTGGGGGTTTTGGATTCGTGCCTGTCTATTGAGTGGAACGAGTGCCCTCGTCGTTGCTGCTCAGTTGCGGTATTTGATCCAAGAAATCAGCATTTCATCGCTTCAATTAATGGTACTATTCGCATTGATGGCGTTGGGATTTACTGCCGCGTCGATTACGGTTGCGTCAGTGTGGGTCTTTCCAATACCTTACTACTACTAGTAGTATATGGTAATCTTCATGATGCCAATTTTTCTATTGCTATTTGTCTGCATAATTCGTTTCCTCCTTGGTGCAATTGCATTCCGGTGTATGTTGGTAAGACGACGACAATTTATCCGCTTCGCTATATCAGTCAACATCCAGGCTCTGCTGGCGGTAGCGTATCCAGCGTATCAGTTGCTATTCAACTCTATAGCAGGATCGACCTACGAACTCCTGGTGTTTTTATTTTTCCTATCTTGAAAATCATACTCAAGAACCTCGTGTCGCTCTGTTTAGCCGGTTTGGCTGACTTGATCCCAGAGAATATCATTTTTACGGTTCATTTCTTCAATGCAATCTATTTAGCCACATGTATGCAGAGCTCTTTATCAACATTCGCAGTTTCAACCATTATGATCATCGATTTTTATTAGAAACTGAAATGACATTGTATGGGATTTATCGCTCATGTAATCGCATCATGAAGCAACTCCACCAGACTATTGACCCATCTATTAGCGAAGGCAATCTGCTATCCGCTGCGTATTCATTGTGTCACTACCACGATAAATTCACCAAGGAAGAGCGGAAGCAAGTTCAAGTACGCTCCTGCTTTCCTCATCAATTGTCGATCGAAGGACGAGATCTTCTAAGCAAACTTGAAAATGAGAATCTCAGCATTGGTCCAACTTTTCCTCCCTCGTCCAACACCCAGTCGATGCCGACGATGAAAAATGTGCTTCCTACTGGCTGTGGTCCGCCCGTCGGTAGTCGTTGGAGCACCATGAAACAGCCTGTTAGTCCGACAAGAATCAGGTCCGTGCAAGTAA